TGACTGGGGTGAAATGATATCTCCATTCAAAATATAAGCTCCAGCGTTTCAGAGGCTGCCAACATAATCCCAAACAGTTAAAGCTGTGTGGTTTACCTTTCTGTGTATCCTGCTAGGGCCCAGGTCTGGAACTGTTGCCATGTTCGAATCTTGGAGCAGATTTGCACTCCTTTACCTCCTTAGGATTTCCAAGGCTGTAAATTGTCATGAAGCACCGTCTCATCTTCTTCCCAGCAGAGCCAGTGGATTTAAAATGCCTCCTTTGTTAGCACTTTAACCCATTGCCCACTCTTGACATCTAACTCACTAGGCTATGTTAATGTGACCGTGGTCATACAGCTAAGTGGTGGAGCTAAGGTTTGAATTCATTAAGAAGGTAACCCTGATTTACGGGGAAGGGAAACCTCAACAGGAGAAATAGCATTTGTGTAGAGCGCAGTTCTGAATCGGTGGTGGGTGAGAGAGGGCAGAGAAGGAAGCGGTTATCGTAGGATGTATGCCTATCTCTCTACCATCTAAATGCAAAATAAGACTTTAACATGCCAACATGTAATTTCAGTTAGAAAGAATTTGTTGAGTCAGGCATTCAGAATCAGGGGTTATTATGAAGATGAATCTACCTCACAGACACTGAAGCTGCTTTGAGGAGAACATCTCAGTTTTCAGAATTATTTTCCTGATGCAAACTTACCAGTCATTGATTTATTGAGATTTTAGCAACTCTTCATACAGTTGGCAAGTTTCTCTGGTGATTGTTGTTGTGTACTATAGTCAGAACCGACCCATAGCTGACTCTCTGGCAGTTAATAGCACAGGAGGTGACTGCCTATCTTCCTCTCGTGGAACTGGTGGTCTCAAAGCAAGTGCCTTCTGGATTGCAGCACAGCTGCTTGCCACTAGGCCACCAGAGCTCATATTGTGACTATTCTGTAAGTAGTGAAAGGTCCTTTCAGATATGAATACACTTCCAGTAAGATAGGATATGTCGATCTTATGATTGACCTACGTTAACAAGTTTTGTCAGGAGCTCTGTGTTCTTTGGTATTTGTATGGAATGCCTTCCATTTAAAGTTTTTTCATAGGCCTATCTCATTTCCTCATCTTTTATTCTCTTATTTCCTGAGGAATACAATTTGGCACTAACTCTACCTAGGCATGGCTTGGAACTTTTTCTAATATCAAGTGCTTGTGATGACTAATTTTTTGTATTTCCTTGTGCTTATATTGAGGGGACCTGAAGTAGACAGACAGACATGTAAGGCAGCAGAAGAAACAACTAATGCTAAGATTCTAAGGTAGTCTTAGCTGGGCCTTCATGAGGCCAATTGGCTAGGGGAGAGTTATACCCAACTGGAGGGAGAGTAACAGTTGAACTTGCTATTTTTCTAAGAAATGGACAGTGAAAAAGGATGACTAAAAACTGACTCCTTTGAGCTGTGGTGTTGGAAAACGTACTTTACATCCCACGGACAGCCAAGAAAACAAATGTTTATGTCTTGGGAGAGGGTGCGGCTGGAGTGCTCTTTGGAGGCAAGAATGATGAAGCTTAGCCTCACATACTTTGGGCATGTTGCTAGTCGGGGCTATTCACTGGGGAGGGACATGATGCTAGAAGGGCAGAGGGGAAGACCCTCGACAGGTGGATTGATGTGGTGGTGACTGCTGCAATGGGCTCTTGTGTGTCACAAAGTATGAGGATGGTGCAGGATAGAACAGGGTTCAAATCTTTTGTTCACAAGGTTGCTATGAGTCATACTCAATGGTACTAAACAGCAGCAGCAGCAGTTGAAGTCTGCCAGAGATTAAGCCATGACAAAGATTTGGCTTTTAGTCTGAAATTAGGAACCACTGTGAAATAATGAACAGCTTTAAATAGAAGAGTCACATGATTATGAGGGCTTATTTTTGATGGATCTTTGCTGCTGTATTTAGAAACAGTCTGTAAAGTATAAATGACAATATATTCCCTCACAATTTAGGAAGCCAGACATCCCAATTCAGGGTGCTGGCTCCAGGGGATGATTTATAACAAGTATTTAATGTTTAATTTTTATGTTGTTGTTATGTGCTGTCAAGTCGCTTGCAACTGAGCAACCCTATGTACAAAAGCTCTGAACCCTGCTCTATCCTGTGCCAACCTCATTGTCTCTGAGTCCCCCACCCCCCATTACCCCAGTCACTGAGTCAATCTGTCACATCGAGGGTCTTCCTCTCTGTGCTCTCTCCACCCTCCCAAGCCTGACATCCCTTTCATCAAAAGTAAGAATCAAATAGTATCAGATAGTAAGAATCAAATCCCTTTTCCTAGAATATAGTTATATGCCAATCAGTAGTACTCAAACCCTGTACTATCCTCTGCCAACCTCTGACATATCTGAGCCCATTGACACACTGTCAGTCTTGCATGTTGAAGGTCTTACTCTTTTTTGCTGACCCTTTACCTTTCCAAACATGATGTCCCTTTCCAAAGAATAGCCCCTCCTAGCAATATGGCCAATGTGAGATGAATCTGCCATCCTTGACTCAAAGGAGCATTCTGGCTGCACCTTCCCCAAGACCTGTTTGTTCTTTTGGCAGTCCATGGGATATACAATACTCTTCTCCAGCACCACAACTCAAAAGGGATCGATTTATCTTCTGTCATCCTTACTCACTGTTCAGCTCTCCGACACGTAGCAAGTGACTGAAAATATTGAATCAGGCAGACCTTGGTCTTCAAATTGCTGTATTAGCTAAAAAGAAATCCAAGTCAGAATGATAAGGATAAAATGAAGGATTTGTTAAGACTGTATCAAGGTTAAACTTTTTTAAAGCAGAATGAGGTTTTGTTCATTTTTATTATTTCCTGGTTTGACATACTGCATGACACCTAAGAGGCAATCAGTAAATGTTTAATGTCCAAGAAAGTGAAGCGGTCATAATGATAACCCACAAAGACACAAAACAAAATTACAAAAGGGAGTTTTATTCAAAAGCATAAGGGAACATTTACATTTGAATAGGTGACAAACAGGTGTCTTGCAAAAGGGGGGGGAATCTATGGCATGAAGTTCCTCATTCAGAAATTTCAAGCAAAAATTACCTAAGTTGTACACTATTGCTTTAAGGGAAACAGTGAGGGGAGGAACGCAAACTCATTATTAAACACTGGAAATCAGTGACTTCTGCTCAGTGTTAAGTTTAAAAATATGCTTTAAAAAAAAAAGTAACTTACACTGTTCAAATGTTTACAACTATAGCCCCAATATAGCTTCTGTACTTGAAACAGCATTAGGCCACTGGCTGTTGTGCCTCTGAAGCCTAGACTAGCTGGTCACAGTTTTCAAATGGCAAATGCATGTTCCTATGTTTTTTCAGATTCCAAGAAAGCTTAGGTTCAGCTCATAGTCTTTTGGAATGTTTATAGATTATTGCCACCACTCCATATCAAGCTGACCAACTTCCTTTGCTCAGTTTTACCACTCTAGCTTTTAAAAATATTTTCCCATAAACATGTGCAGTAATTCTAGCAAAGGGGTTTTTCCATTTTTCCTCTCCCCAATGCAGAACTATCTAGGAACACAGTAATGAACAACAATGAAGACACTTGCATTGTATTCACAGACTATTCGTCAAAGTACATCAAGCTACTAAAAAATGTCATTCAGGACTTGATTTGAATAGCAAACTTAGAGGAAGGATTAACTGTGGAACAAAAATATATGAAACATTCAAA